ACCCGTTAGAACCCCGCCACGCCCGGCCCCCCGCGCCCCCCGCACGTTTGGGTGTCGGTGCGGGACGCGCGTGGGGACGGGCAGCCAAGGGCCCCGGCTTGGGTCACCTGGGGAGAACGGTTGCCTGGACCCCAGGAAACAGCTTTCTCATCTGAAAGCTGTCAATGTCTAGCGGGCTCTGGCGGCTCACACCTGCCATCCTAGCTACTCAGGAGGCTGAGATCTGAGGATCAAGGTTCAGAGCCAGGCCCGGTGGGAAAGTCTGTGAGACCCTGATCTCCCCTTGACCAGCAGAATGTCACAAGTGGGGCTGTGGCTCGAAGTGGTGGAGCATGAACCTTGAGTGAAAAGACGCAGGGACACCCAGGCCCTGAGTGTAAGCCCTAGGACCAGCAAACACCTCACGCACAAAATGTAGAGGGCCCACTCTACCCCGGGGGACTGCACCTCAGTTTACTCACTGGGGAAATGGAATAATAGCATTGCTCCATATATCTGTAAGAAGGATCAGAGAAATCAATATAAAACATTTGCCACAGAGCAAGGCAGCCATGCACAGCAAGTAGCGCAGGAGCTCCGGGCTGCTGCTCTAAAAATAAGGATAATCCAATTTCATAAGGGTTGGGGAGACCCCAGAGGGATGATACCCATCAGAGGTTTTCATTTCATACCCACCAGAACCAATTAGTTCGATATTTGGTAGACATAGGCCTTGAGCCAGTTGTGATGGGCAATGCCCCAGAACACAGTACCAGGCTTTTTCTGCCCTGCTGCAGAGCTACAAAAGGCCTTAAGAGGTCACCTTGGCCTTTCCTTTACAATGAGGAAACTGAGGCACAGAGCCCTTCTGAAGATGGCACAGAACTGGAGCTCATACAGACTCTAGATGTCTCACTGTCATTCCCTGCCACTCCCCCATTGCCTCCTCTGGGATCTCCCTCACTTGCTGATCAGGGCCAAAAAGCAGGACTCTTTCTCCTCCCTACCCTATGTCATGCTGACCACAGGGGTATCAGCCTCAATGGAGGTAGACCCACATCTGCAAGAAGCCCCTGGAGGTTGAACGGTGGACTCATGAGGCCAAGGGGGCTCCCTGCTCCTCTCCCTCTTCCCACTCCATAGCTCTTGGCCATTGTGGCCCCAAGGAGAATACCTACCATGTTTGTTCTTCTTCTGCTCCTCTTCCAGCCCTGGCACACCCGGGATACCCAGGAAGGTGTTGTGCGAGTTTCCATACCACACCAGCAGCTCCTGGTCAGGAGGAATCATCTGTAGAGAAGGAGGAAAGAGAGGGTCAGGGAGGTGGTAGCTGGTGGTAGGGTGTAGGGGTCTCGGCACCCCCTGGCAGCCATGAGATGGGTCAGCCCTGAGAAGGCCACAGCTGGGTTCTGCCCTGAAATGCCCCCAGGGACCTGTAGTGACACAAAAAGAGCCAGGACATTATTGTCCCTCTGGACTCACGCCACCACCCAAAGGTCCTGGCTGATGGTGACAGGACAGAAGGCTTGGGACAGGCAGAAATCGCAGCAGATGGAATGCTAGAAAACTTCCTTCCTTATAGACCAGGGGAAGCAGAGTCAGCAGCCCCCGGAGCCCCAGGGCCAAGCCAGATGTTTCCAAGGAGTGTGGGCTGTGAGCCATCCTAGGGTGCTTTGCTTTTTCCCTGCCTGATAATGTTCTGGAAATATCTCTTTTCTCAGGTAGCTAAGGTCTGCCTCACCCCACGCATTTCCTCACTGGGCACAGGGCTCTGCGTGAGTCCGTACACAAGGTAGATGTTAAAAAAGAAACACTTGGACTGACAAACACCTCCACACAGGAATGACTGGGATGTGCAGCCAGGAACAAAATCTGCTTTCATCAAGTCACACGTCTGTTACCAAGAAACCTACAAACTTTTCCTCAAAGAAAGGAGCTGCTGCAGGAAAATGGGCCAGAGTTTTAGGGAGGCTGGAAGGTCTGCTCCCAAGGCTGCATCCCAGGACACCCCGGGGTCTCTGTTGAAAGCCAGTTACCTCCTCCAACAGAGCCTGCAGGCTTCAACCAGCGAGGGCAAATGAGAGGAGAGACAGCCCAACACTGTCCTGAAATCTGGTCCTCAGAGCTGCTGTCACAGCATCCGCCTTGGGAGCCACTGTCTGAGGTGAGAAACCAGGGCACCCCCTCCCCCTGGCAACAGCTGCTTTGTTTATCTGCTGGATCCTTTGCAGTGGAAGCACAAACAATCCCACAGCAGAGTAGATCCCTCGACCTCCACATTTTTTTTTTTGGGTCCAGTCGTGGGGCCTGAATTCTGGGCCTGGGCGCTGTCCCTCAGCTCTTCAGCTCAAGGCTAGCACTCTACCACTTGAGCTATAGCGCCACTTCCGGCTTTTTTCATTTTGCTTATGTGGTGCTGAGGAATCGAACCCAGGGCCTCAGGCATGCACGGCAAGTGCTCTACCACTGAGCCACCTTCCCAGCCCCTGACCTCCACATTTGAACAGAGGTACTGGCACTGGCCTGCACCTTGGGTTGAGCACCTCTGTGCAGAGCCCAAAGCTCTGCTCCTGTCAGGAGGGGGAGCTGAGAGAGAAGCAGAGGGCTAGATGGTGTGGGGCCTTTGTGACTGTCCTTCTCTTGAGACTCAGCTTGAGGCCGCCATGCCCCTTCCCGTGACCCCCGTGGTCCACAGGGCACCACAGAAACCCAGAGGCACTGCATGGTGAAATTCTAGCAAAGGCCAGGCCAAGAGGAGCCCCAGAACCCAAGGAAAACAAGGCATTGCCTCAGAAAAAGCAGAGAGATTATAACCTAGGACTCCAGCAAGTCACTGAGGCCTCTGTCATTGGTGGACCTGGCTGCTGTGGGAGGCCCGTGGGCAGAGCTGGTAAACCACTAGAAAACCGAAAGTAGTACTGTGGCTCAAGGGGTAGAGCGCTTGCCTTGAGCTGAAGAGCTGAGGGACAGCGCCCAACCCCAGAGTTCAAGCCCCACGACCCACCAGAAACAAAAAAAAAAAAGGCAGAGGAGGTTTGTGAACTCCCCCAGCGAAGTATCGAAGATCACCTGATAGTTAAAGAGGTCAGTAAAAAACCAGTGCTGCCGGGCACCAATGGCTCACGCCTGTAATCCTAGCTATTTGGGAGGCTGAGATCTGAGGATCACCATTCAAAACCAGCCTGGGCAGGAAAAGTCTATGAGATTCTTTTTTTTGTCGGTCATAGAGCTTGAACTCTGGGCCTAAGAGCTGGCCCTGAGCTCTTTAGCTCAAGGCTAGCACTCTACCACTTGAGCCACAGAGCCACTTCTGGTTTTCTGGTGGTTTATTGGAGATAAGAGTCTCACAGGGGGCTAGGAAGGTGGCTCAGTAGTAGAGTGCTTGCCTTCCATGCAAGAGGCTCCAGGTTCAATTCCTCAGTACCACATAAGCGGAAAAAGCTGGAAGTGGCACTGTGGTTCAAGTGGTAGAGCACTTGCCTTGAGCTGAAGAGCTGAGGAACAGTACCCAGGCCCAGAATTCAAGCCCACAACTGGGAAAAAATAAATGGAGTCTCACGGACTTTCCTGGCCAGGCTGGCTTTGAACCTTGATCCTCAGATCTCAGCCTCCTGAGTAGCTAGGATTACAGGTGTGAACCACTGGCATTGTGGCCAGAAAACCGGAAGTGGTGCTGTGGCTCAAGTGGTAGAGCACTAGCCTTGTGCTGAAGAGCTGAGGGACAGCACTCAGGCCCAGAGTTCAAGCCTCATGAATGACAAAATTTAAAAAAAAAAAAAAAAACCTGTGCTAGTGGCTCACACCTGTAATCCTAGATAAGCAGAAGGCTGAGAACTGAGGATCTCAGTTCGAAGCCAGCCCAGGCAGGAAAGTTTATGAGATTCTTATCTCTCATTAATCACAGAAAAAGCCTGAGTGGTGCTGTGGTTCAAGTGATAGAGCGCTAGCTTTGAGCAAAAGGAGCTCAGGGAGAGTACGCAGGCCCTGAGTACAAGCCTCAGGACTGGCAGAAAGGGGGAAAAATGCTAATTGGGAGTTAAAGCCCTTGTATGTGCATAACACGCGCACGCGCACGTGTGCACACGCGCACACACACACACACACAGAGCAGTCTCTAGACCCCAGGCCATAGCCACGTGGTCTCTGCCGCTTTGCCTCTGTAAGCTGCTCTTCTAACGAGGGCTTTGGGGAGCACAGTCCCTGAGGCCCTCAACCCCGCAGCTGCTGAGAGACACGGACACACCGGACGGTAGGTTGTAGGTTCTTCTGAGCAGCCAGCCCCCGGTGGGCGAGGGCCCTGCCAAGCTTCAGCCCAGCCCTGGAGCCCAGCAGGTCAGGGTCCACTCATTTCCCACAAGCTACGTGAGTGACCTTGTTCCGGTGGCCTCATCTCATGGTGCCTCAGTTTCCTCAGCTGTAAAACAACAGTCTCATTGCCCTGGCCTCCTTGAGTAGCTCCTGGGTCATCGAGGCCACAGGCACTCCGTGTACAGCATGTGTGTGCCACGTGTGTGTGACTGCATGCGTGTACCGCATGTGCAAAGCTGGCTCTCCAGCCTCGCGGAGCAGCTGGCGGGGATCCGGGCATGCAGAGCCCCTGCAGTAGTGCCGCGGAGCCGCAGGAAGGCCTGGGGCCCCTGCTTGGTTAGAACCCAAGGTGACTGTAGGTTTTGCCCAGTCTGAGTTGGCATGCCCCAAGGACACAGCCCACACAGTGCCATGGCCCCTGCTGCCTCTCCCCCAGCAGAGACGCCGGAGCTCCAGCCTCACAGCGGGTGAGGCTGAGCCAGCTCAGTGACGGAGCCCTGAGTGACACACTCACCTCCCCACCCTCCACCAGAGAACAAAAACTAAAGCAATGCTGGTCTTCCCGTTTTAATTGAAAATAACAGCCAAGTGCCAATGGTTCAGGCCTGCTCAGGAGGCTGAGATCTCCACTCAGACCCAGCCTGGGTGGACAAATCCTTAGAGACAGGAACTCCTGAGAAATAGAGTACTAGCCCTGAGCAAGAAGCTGAGCAAGAGTACAAGGCCCTGAGTTCAATTTTCAGAGGAAGGAAGCAAGGAAGGAAGGAAGGGAAAAGGGAAGGAAGGAAAGAAAGAAGGAAGGAAGGAAGGAGAAGGGAAGGGAGAGAGGGATGGAAGGAGGGAGAGAGAGAAAGAAAAAGAGAGGGAAAGAGAATGAGAGGAAGGAAGGAAAGAAGAAAAAAGATTAAAGAAAAGGGAGGGAAGGGGAGCGAAAGAAAAGAAAGAAGAAGGAAGGAACTACTATTAAACACAATTACAATAAAAAATAATGAAGATGATGGATGAAGATCACACAGCCCTGAGTACTGTGTGTGTGTGTGCGCGCGCACACGCACACACACAACTCCGGGCCTGGGCACTGTCCCATAGCTGTGTCATGTAGGCTCACATTCTACCACTTGAGTCACAGTTCCACTTCTGGCCTTTGGTGGTTAATTAGGATAAGAGTCACACAGGGGGCTGGGAAGGTGGCTCAGTGGTAGAGCTCTTGCCTTGCATGCATGAGGCCCTGGGTTCCATTCCTCAGCACCACATAAGCAAACAGAAAGAGCCGGAAGTGGCGCTGTGGCTCAAGTGGTAGAGTACTAGCCTTGAGCTGAAGAGCTGAGGGACAGCGCCCAGGCCCAGAGTTCAGGCCCCACGACTGGACCCAAAAAAAAAAAAAAAAGAGTCACTTCTTCCTGCCTGGGCTGGCTTCAAACTGCAATCCTCAGATCTCAGCTAGTAGCTGAGTAGCTAGGTTTACAGGCGTGAGCCACTGGCACCTGGCTCTGAATACTCATTCTAAATGGTGACTCAGGATATTGTTTATAAAAAATAAGCACTTCCAGAACTTGTCTGCTATGCACAAGGCCAGTTGGGTCTCCAACACTACAAAAGAAAAAAAAAAGGAAAATAGATGCAAATCTCTTTTTAAAAATGTGTTTAAGAGATTATTGTACTAAGGGTGAATCTTGTATGCGGCAGCGTATTTTGTGGTGGCCTGGAGTTGATTTTACTCATGAGTTGAAAAAGTAAAATCCCTGCGTACAAAAGCATAAGCAGGCAATGCGGCAGACAAGGAGAAGCGGCTCCCTCCCTGTCCCGGTGGCCAGCGGCTGCCGCCAGCTCTGCAAGCATCTTTCCCCAGAAACATTTCTCACTTTGAAACTAGAAAAAAGTGCCGACTTAAGGTTTGTGTAGAGAAACAGGGTGCCACAGAGGGGCTTCTATTTTCAGTTGTTTTGTTTTTGTCGGTTGGGGCTTGAACCCTGGGCCTGGGT